TAAGACATGCACCGTAGAACGCCTTAGTGACAATAAGGTAATTCTACGTGGCGATAGAATCGACAACATCTACATGGTTAACTTAGAAAAATCCCCGTCCAACTTTGCAAAATGTCTCATTAGTAAGGACGAAGATACATGGCTATGGCACCGTAGAATAGCTCATATGAACATGGACCTTTTGAATAAATTGGTCTCACAAGACTTAGTAATTGGCATCCCAAAACTTAAGTTTGAAAAAGACACCTTATGTGATGCATGTCAAAAGGGGAAGCAAGTGAGGGCCTCGTTTAAATCTAAGAACGTTGTCTCAACGTCTAGGCCACTTCAACTTTTGCACATGGATCTCTTTGGTCCTTCTAGAACAAAAAGTTTCGGTGGCAATTACTTTGCTTTTGTAATTGTTGATGACTATTCTAGGTTCACATGGACATTGTTTCTAACTCACAAAAGTGAGGCATTTCATGTTTTTAAAGTTTTCCTTAAAAAGGTGCAAAATGAAAAAGATACAACAATTGTAGCCATAAGAAGTGACCATGGGGGAGAGTTCGAACGAAACTTATTTTCTGATTTTTGTGACGAACTTGGCATTGATCATAATTTCTCTGCCCCACGTACACCACAACAAAATGGAGTGGTGGAACGTAAAAATAGATGTCTCGAAGAGATGGCGAGAACTATGATCAATGAGGCAAAAATTCCTAAGTATTTTTGGGCGGATGCTGTGAGTACCGCGAGCTACGTGTTAAACCGAGCCGTCATTAGACTGATACTCAAGAAAACGCCCTATGAATTATACAAAAGAAGAAAACCTAATCTTTCTCATCTTCGTGTCTTTGGTTGTAAATGTTTTGTTCATAACAATGGCAAAGATAACTTATTCAAATTTGATGCTAAGTCGGATGAAGGAATTTTCCTTGGTTACTCATTGAGAAGCAAAGCCTATAGAGTGTTTAATAAAAGAACGTTGAATGTTGAGGAATCCCCTCACGTAGTATTTGCCGAAGATAATACTCGCTTGGCGAGGAAGGAAATCTGTGATGAACTTGCAGGTGAACTGGAGAGAATTTACCTTGAAGATGACGAAGAAGAAAAGGAAACAAGCAAACAACCATCTTCACAGCAGCCAACCGAGGAACAACAACTTGAAGAACACGAGGAAGATGATACTAGCGCAAGAGAACAAGAAGACCAGCTAACCATTCATAGCGAACTAGGAATCCTTGACTCTACCTTGATCTAATATGTGCATTTTATCTATCATTCATTAAATCATTACTAACTTGAGCTTCGGAGGGTTTTCTAACTCTTTTTTGCAGGTGCATCACTTAAATGTTTCTGGAAGACAGGGGGAACCAGCGATGGTAAGCCAAGCACATCGTTGGTCAGGACAGCGATGGGTCAATATAACCATCGCTGGGTAAAGCATTCGATTCCACCAGGACCAGGTACCCATCGATGGTACATTTACACCATCGATGGTCATTTACTCCATGTTATTTTAAAATTTCTTATCGCATTCCAGCTATCCCTACCCATCGATGGGTGTAAGGGACTGTCGCTGGTCTGCAGAGGCTTGGGTTTCCAGTGGCTCCCAAAACCAGCGATGGTACTTCTTACCCATCGCCGGTAAGCCTTTAGTGCTCAACTCCAGACTTTCCAGTAGCTCCTTTACCAGCGATGGTGCTTTTGACACATCGCTGGTTGGTTCTCTTTTCTTTTTCATGAATTTCCAGAAACCCCCTCCCCATCGATGGTTTTTCTTACCCATCGATGGGCGACCAGCGATGGTCAGGGTTACCCATCGCTGGTTTGACGGGTTCTTTCAAAAAAAATTAGTCCGTTGGGCACCACATTCAATGCCCAACAGCTCTTTTTCAAATACCCAACGGACAAATGAGTGTTTTCTATAAAAACGACCCATTTTTGGGTCATTTTTCCTCATCTTTTTCACTCCAAATCAATCCATTGAGCAATAGTTGATTCTTTCTTCATCTTTTCTTCTCAAACTCTTCTCAAATGTCCGGAGGAAAAACCAAGACCAAGGCCTCCATGTCCAAGAAGAAGAGCACGGCCGATGCATCGTCCTCGCTGCCCGAAACGTACCCGTACCTTGATGGGTTGTTTCTCGAGTTTGGATCGAAGGCGGAGCTCCATCACTTCCTCTCCTATTTCTCTACGCGCCGCCTCGCATCCTCCCGGAGCTTTACCCCCAACAAAAGGGGTTTCATGATCTCGACAACCAGCTCCAAGCTTCAGGACTTTGGCCGTTCGTCTCCAAGAGCCACCAAAGCTTCAACCACGGGCTTGTGCGTGCGTTCTACTACAACCTACGCCGAGAAGGGGACGTCCTCAAGACGAGCATCAATCTCTATGACATAGAGATCACGTTGGACACCCTCTCTCGCGTCTCAGGGCTGCCTACTCGGGGAGAGGATATCGCGACGTACGGAGGCGAAGATTGGTACGTCAACAACGAAGGCGTGGTCCTTCGAGAGCTTGGCATCACCAACCTCATCCGGCACAAGGGCGCACCGACCATTCACTCCGCTCCTTTGGAGAAGAGGGTCCTACTCTACCTTCTCACCCGGGTTCTCCATCCTCGGGATCACAGCCACACCACCCTCTTCACCAAAGACGTCAAGATGATCCACGCAATCATGCACGGAGCCGACGTCAATTGGGCCAAGTTCATCATGATCAACATGGCCGATTGTGCATCCATTAGCACCGAGAGGAGTCTCCCTTATGCTTTCCTAGTCATGGAGATCATTGCACGCAACAACATCCACATCGTCGGCCCTGTTGAGTCCAAAATGTTCACTCATTATTCTCTATCAAATCAGTATTTTTGGGCATTAAAAAGTGCATTTTTACACTTAAATGATCATATTTGCATTCTAGACATAGTTTTTAAAATATGTTCATAATGCACACTTTTCAGTTTATTTTTGAATATTATTGTTGTGGACCCAAATTCTCCTTGACAAAGGTTATTAGATATATTCTTGAAGCATAAAGTACGGGCTGAAAATGTGAAAGCAATCCGGGCCCAATATAATAAAGCCCAAAGGTCCACCGCCAATACACACAAGAGAAGAGAAATTGGAGAGAAGCTGCGTAAAAAGAAGAGACTCCCGCTCCTACTGTTGTTCGGCTCTTCAACGCAACTGGAGCCGGAGAATCCGCAGCAAGAATTGCAGCGCACAAGGAAGTCCTAATCGAAGACGGAAGAGACGAAGAGCACCTATAAATTGAGGGAGGGCTGCGAAGAACTTCACCACCACCATCAAGAACAAATATTAGAGCTTCAATTCAAGGGTATGAACCCTAGGGGGGTTCGGGTCTTGAACCCAAAACCCCCTTCGTTCCCTTTTGTTTTCATCTTTTTAGTGATTCTCTGATTTATATTAGTTTTAATTTCAATTTTTTAGTCCCTTTAATTTTCTCACAATTGAATAAAATTCTGTCTTGTTTTTTTTTTAATTCTGAATGTTGTGTTCTTTAAGATCAATGGTTGTTTTCAAGACGTTGGAGATACTGTCATGGATTTGATTTGGAAATTTGACCAAGTTCGTAATAATTTTTGGGCATGTATGTTTGAGTATGGCCTTGCGATGCACTGACAGTTGCTTTTGTTTCTGGATTTCATTCACTGCCCATTTTGGAAGTAGGGATAATGAATGATTTTTTCATGATTTAAACCTTCCAATCATGCTGGCAATAAGTGGACCAGAACAGGGCCGTGTCTTTTGAGCAACCTTGAGAAGTGTTTTTTTACTTTCTTATGTAATCTAGGTCTGATTTCGTAGAAAATAACATATGAAACCAGAATTTTTGGAAGAAGTATTGAATCTTGTTGCTTAAAATTAAATCTGTCTATGGGTTTACACTTTTACTTCAAGTTTAATACTCTTAAAATAATTTAAGCTTTTGCTACTTTTAAATTAATTCAAAGGTGTTTGAGAACTACTTTTCAATTGATTTTACTTAAGTTGGGTCAAATTAGGATCGCGACCTAATCCAATTTAAAATGATATTCTTTTAAAGTCTAAAGTGCTTTAAATAGCCGAACTTTTCTAGAAACCAAGTGTCACTTGATTAACCTGGGCTGCCTCGTGGTTTTTGCTAATCAAGGTTCTCAAACTGATTTTGTTAAATAACCTTCGTGTTACTGCAAAATTGTTACGGTGATGTTTTCCACAAATCTTAATGCACTATTCTTAGTAGTAATCTAAGGGTTGGTCTTTGGGTTGCTAAGGGTAGTAGGGTTTAGAGTTAGGGTTGGTCCTAACATGAGCTTTTATGAATGGGAAAATAGGAAAGAACCGTTGGTGGACCTCTTTTTCAGCCGGACCCTTGTTTTAATTTATAGTTGGTTGATGATTATGCTAGTTTTCAACAAAGTTTTGATCCTGGATATTTATTTTCTATATTATAAAACATTTTGTTGGTTTTCTAAAATTGTTTAAGTCTCTAAACTATTGTGTTATGTGTGTTTGTCTTCTTTTTTTGGGCTTTTTGGTGGAGTTATGTTCTGTTTTTATCCTTGGTTTGTTTTGAGTTTTGTTCTGGTGTGGTGTGTCACTTTAGTTAGTTTTTTTACTTCATTTAGAAAACAATTTTCAACCCCCCCATCTTTTA